AACCACTGGACAGATATTAAACTAACCACTGGACAGATATCAAACTAACCACTGGACAGATATCAAACTAACCACTGGACAGATATTAAACTAACCACTGGATGGACATCTCTCATTAACCGTGGAAGTCAGCGTCATTCAAGATGGCTGCCACAGCTAATTAACACTGGCCAACAAAAAATAACTAACTCTGTAAATTTCATAGCTACCTTCATACTGGCCATCAACTGGTGACATTATTTAATGAATGCTCCTGCCAGCTGCTTGCAGATGTTGGATGCTCTCTACCATGGTGCACCAAGATTCCTAACTGGTTGTAACTACCGTACCATCACTGCACCAGTACTCACTGGTCAGCTGTTTATAATTATCTACATGTGGGCTCTCACACTGGTTCATCTTCATGTCTGCTACCTTCTTATATGTCCTCCCACATGTCAGGTCGTCAGTAGGGGTTGAATGAGTATATAATTTTTAAACTCGACATTAACATAATAAAACCTGAGTGGAGCAGCACGGTGGCGCAACTGGTAGAGCTGCTGCCTCTCAGCGAGCAGGTCCTTGGTTCAAACCCCGGTCCAGGGGCCTTTCTGGGTGGAGTTTGCATGTTCTCTCCGTGCATGCGTGGGTTTTCTCCGGGTACTCCGGTTTCCTCCCACAGACCAAAAACATGCATGTTAGGCTGATTGGTAACTCTAAATTGTCCCTAGGTGTGAGTGAGAGAGTGAATGGTTGTTTGTCTTGTTTGTCTCTATGTGTCCCTGTGATGGACTGGAGACCCGTCCAGGGTGTACCCCGCCCCTCGCACAGTGATTGCTGGACATGGGCACCAGCGACCCCCGTGACCCAAAATGGAATAAACGGGTAAAGAAAATGGATGGATGGATGAACCCGAGTGGAACTCGAGTATTTGATGACGTCATAGATCTCAAGATACAAAAATTAATAAATAAATAAAACCGTAATAAAAGGTAATTATTTACCAAAAAAAAAGCCCAACAAAACATTGGGAGCGTATATTATGCTCCTACCATTTATCATACTGCAAATAAGTCACAGGAAAAACTAAACTATTAGTTTTTATTATTAAACTGCAAACGTGAAGAAAGAGAAACTTAAACCGAAGCTGGTTCTGTGGATTGGACCCGGTGTTACACCAAACTCTGTGACCTGCAACAGTGCAACACCGCCCCTACGGCCATACGGTGGTCACATAATATGACGTCACTACGGATACTCAACATTACATTTCTAACCTCGATAGATGTCCTAGCAATCGATGTGTAGATTACTCGAGTACTCTGTTAATGCCCTAGTCGTCAGTGCAGCTACAGCGTGCGCTCTCAGGACATCATTACCTGCAGCGTTCCTTCAGTGAGGACTGAACTAGACAAAACCCTTTTCTTACTCAGCTCCTGTTTCCTGGAACATCTGGCCACAGGAACTGAAGTCCTTCATTTCTTTGGGGGATTTCAAACGTGTGATAAGGTCAGTAGCAACATTCAAGAAAATATGTTCTTGTTTTTAGTATTGTACCTTGTTTAATGGCACCTTGATTTATTGTTTTATAACACTACTTTTGTTTTAATTGCATTTTTACTGAAGTTAATTGTTGCCTGTCTAAAACAGGTCACCTGTGAACGAGTCCTGACTCCACCAGTCTAACCTGCAGAAATAAAGGTTTCCTGAACGAAGCTGAGGGACACCTGGCACTAACCGAGTCATTAACACTCCGACTTATCACTGCTCAGCCTTACAAGAGCTTAGCTACAAACTCGGCGGGCGATAAGCACTCCTGTCACCGTTTTTAATCTCCATGAGTTTGTTGAACACAAGCTGAGGAGTAAAACCTGTTTAACTTCAGGACACCAGGACCAAACCTCTGTCGATAAATGAGTTTGCTGGTCCTGCTGGGTTCCACATGACACCATGAAACGAGACGTTTCGTACCGTGAGGTGAAGCAGCCACAGTCAACACGAAGCCATGACCCGCTCAGACACGGTGAAGAACAACCAACCAGTCAAACACCAGTCCTGACACACCCCGTTACTACTCAGCGCATGAACACCGGAAGTAAAAGAGAGGACTTCCGCTCAGGATTTTCTTCTTCGCTTAATAATTTGCAGTTGGCAAGCAAACGTTTGGGCTCTTTACCGCCACTCACCGACGGAATCTATCCATAAACTTAGCTACTTAATGACAATGAGAATAATTTGTTTAACTGCTCTGAGTTCCTACAAACTTTGGTCTACCTGTAACCTCGAAAGAGTTCGCTGTCATGGATGCTGCTCCTCCTGGTATCCTCACTTTATGAAGAAGACCCCTCATTATTTCAAACAGATATCACCACTACCCCCTGCTGTTCATTGCTGGGCTGATACTACACATTATCTAAACTGGATCATGTGTGGAACTTGTTTACTTCCTTATAAACAAAGTGAGAGGAGTCTCATAACTCGGTCCATAGACAGGCTGTTACCATGCCAACATGTCCAAATGGAATGTGTGTGAACTGTTCTCTGAGTCTGAACCTGGACCACCCTGGCTCCGTCACACTGACACCTTCTGGAAGGAAGTAATCCGCTTCATCGAAACAAAGCTTGACCTTGATTTCTGTTCGATTCAATTCAGTTTATTTCTATAGCACCAACAGAAGTCCTCTCTGGGCATTGTACAGAAACATTAATATAGTGTCATATAAAGTGAGTTAACATTATTTATCTGAGGAGCAGCTTTGAGTTTAACTCCATCACTGAACTCTCATCTTGAACAAGCATGAAGGCGACAGTGGAAAGAAAAACTCCCTCATAAGGAAGAAACCTTTAGCAGAACCAGGATTAGGACAAAGGCTTCGACCAGCTGGGTTTGACAGGACAGGAAGGAAGAACAGATACACAATGGCAGGTCGAGAATCACATGTTAAGATGGAAATAGTATCAAATGAAAACTATTCAATTTTAACAATTCATTTTAAAATATGTGTTCAATGTGTCCTCTAGTAGTCTAAGCCTATGGCAGCAAAACAAGCCGACCCTAAATATAGGATTTATCAAAAAGGAAAGTCTTGATCCAAGTCTTCAAACTGGACGATGTGTCAGTCTCACTGACAGAAACTGGATGTTGTTTCCACAAGAGAGGAGCCTGAGAACTGAAAGATCTGCCTCCCATTCTGCTCTTGGAAACTCTAGGAACCACAAGTAAACCTGCAGTCTGAGAGCGAAGTGCTCTGTTAGTAAAATATGGAACAATAAGATCTGTAATATAAGATGGAGCTAGGTCGTTGAGAGCTTTGTAGGTTAGAAGTAAGATTTTGAATTCTATTCTGGATTTGACAGGGA